TTAAATTATTTTTTACACTTTTTTAATCCCTTAACTTTAATAATTGCACAATTTTGATACCTTCATCAGTTTAAGCCATTAACTCCGTCCACTTGGTATTTTTTATATTTTTTTGATGACATATATAATCTAACTGAAAAAAAATGATAACATGGATAAATAAAATAACATGTAGATAAATCTTTATATTTTTTATAACAAAATATAAAAACCTCTCTACCTATTTTCTTCCCCCTCTTTCTTTCTCTTTCTTCTAGCGGGGGAAGAAAATAGGTGGAGAGGTTTTTTTATTTGGTTAAATGCTAAATTTAGTCCCTCAACTTTACGAAATGCACATTTTTGGTCTCTTAACAATTTTTTGCATTTTTTTGATCCCTTGACTCTAAAAATTGCACAGTTTTGGTCCCTGCGTTAGTTAAGTATGATGTGACAGTTAAATAATTTCATGTGGCATTGTTTTTTAATTTTTTTGATGATGTGGCAATAATATATAGGTTTAAGTACCATTTTGGTCCCTCAACTTGTCACTTTGGTACCAAAATTGTCCCTCAGCTTTAAAAAGTACCAAAATTATCCTCAGATTTTCATTTTCGATACCAAAATGATCCTTCCGTCAGTTAAATGACAAGTGGCTCGTTAAAATGCCACAAAATCATTAAACTTTTTGAATCTTAATGACGTGTAAATCCAACTAAGAAAATTTTTTATACGCGTGGCATATTTTTTTACACGTCATATTATCCCTTTTTAACTTTCGCTTTTAATGGGACCCATGTGACTTTTTAAACTTTTCTTATTCTTTCTCTCCTCTCTTCTCTCTTCTTCTTCCTCTCCAGATCTGGGTTTGATCAAACCCAGATCTGGGTTCTTTCAACCCAATAAGAACAATCGATGGCAATGGTTAAATGTCTTCGTTTCCCACAACGCGCCTTTTCACTACTCGTTCTCGAGGAGTCGACTGTGGATTCTTCGGGAGTAAACCACAACGCCGCCGGTAGCTCCTTTCCGCTACGTCGAAGTCGTTCGCCAATTCATTGCTTGTGCCTCTCTTCACTACTAGATCTCTAGAACTCGGTTGTGGATACTCGTCGAATAAACCATTGCTTGTGCCTCTCTTCAACGGACGAAATGCTGGTTCGAGGTTGCGTGAGTGACATTCCACCAAGGATCTCTCAGATCGGTGTCAATGATGGTCTTGGTGATGGTCGCTACTTGATGCTGGTGGATTATTGCTAATGTGATGAAACCCAGATCTGGGTTTGAGAGAGGAAGAAGAAGCGAGGAGACAGAGAAAGAGAAAGAATAAGAAGAAGAAAGAAGAAGGATGAGGCAGAGTTTTCCAGATCAAGTACGCCACCAAGGTTGTCGATAACAGTGGGTTTGTTCTATTTTTGTTTTGTTGTGCATTGAGCTTGTCATTTCAATTTCCTCAGGATTTTTTTTTCTATTGTTTTAGAATTGTGATTGGCATCAAGTGCAAAGTTGGGATCGTTATGGTATGCTTTATTGTCCCTAATTTTGGTATCTGTTGAATCTTGCTTGTGGATTTGTATGTGAATGTAATTTGTGGATTTGGAAGTTTCAAGGTGTGGAGAAGCTCATTGTGTTGAAGATGATGTTGCGTGGTTCAATCGAAGAATCCACTCCGTTTATCGTCACTTTAGCATGGCATTCGGGTTGAGAGAACCCTCAAACCCAGATCTGGAGAGGAAGAAGAAGAGGGAAGAGAGGAGAGAGAGAAAGAATAAAAAAAGTTAAAAAAATGTCATGTGGACCCCATTAAAAAGGAAAGTAAAAAAAATGATAATATGACGTGTAAAAAAATATGCCACGTGTATTAAAACATGCCATGGTTGCAAGATTTTATTTGCTGGATTTACACGTCATTAAAATTAAAAAAAAATCAGTGATTTTGTGGCATCTTAACGTGCCACTTGTGCACTTAACTGATGGAAGGACCATTTTGATACCGAAAATGAAAGTTTAAGGATAATTTTGGTACTTTTTAAAGCTGAGGGACAATTTTGGTACCAAAGTGACAAGTTGAGGGACCAAAATGGTACTTAAACCTAATATATATTATAATTATGTTATATAAATAAATAAAAAATGCCACATAGATTAATATACATATTTTAATTAAAAACATATAAAATTACCTTATTACCCTCACCCTCACCCTAACCCTCACCCTCACCCTTCCAATCCCTCTTCTTCCCCTTCTTTCTTTCTTTTTCTTTCTTTCTTTCCTGCCTTGGGATAGGTTGGGTTCGGTGGAAACCCAGCTTTGCTGGGTTCGTTGACCAACCAAGGCTGGGTTCGCTGGAACCAAGCCTTGGCTGGGTTCTGTTGAACCCAGCTTTGCTGGGAAAGCTGGGTTCTTGTTTTTTCATTCTTCTTTCGATTTCCATTTCTAGTTGTTAATAAATTTGGAGATTGATTTATAATTTGATTGCATTTTTGTTGGAATTTGATTAAAGTTTGATTGTATTTTTGTTGAAATTCGATTAGAGTTTGATTGGTATTTTTTATTGAAGGGTTATTTTGATTTGATAAGATCTACCAGGTTTGAGGTTTCAATGAAACCCAGTAGCTCAAGTTTCCTCGAGAAAAGAGAAGAAGAAATGGGTGGGTTAAGATCGGTTTTGTAGATGGAGTGGAAATGAGAGAGCATTCACGAAAGAAGAAAAAATGGGTTAAGATCGATTTTGCAGATGGAGTGGAGATGAGAAAGCATTCAGAGAATAAGAAGAAATGGGTTTTAAGATCGATTTTGCAGAGGGTGAAGATGAGAGACCAGTTTGTAGGCAACTGGGATCCATTAGAGGGGTTTGGCGTGAAGAAGATGACATATCATCAAAAAAAAAAGTCCAAATAAGCATCTTTTTAAGTTGTGCTTGCCATGTCATAAAAAAAAATATAAAAAATGCCATGTGGCCGAGTTAACGGCCCAAATTGACAGAAGGATTAACGGAGTGCATTTTGTATAGTTGAGGGATCAAAAAAGTGCAAAAAATTATTAAGGGACCAAAAATGTGCAACTTACTAAAGTTGAGGGACCAAATTTAGCATTTAATCTTTTTATTTTTATTAAAAATATAAAA